TATAAAATAAATTGATTGATTGATTGAGGTGCATTGCTGTGAATCATTGCTGGACAAAATCAGACACCTATTATCTGGATTGCTCAGAAGTCGCGGCGAAACCACAAAGATCAGACCCAGTATACTGCATGTTCCATTGGACTTGGGGCGCCGCAATACATTTTCAAATTCGGTCTTATACCAAGCTGCTTCATTGCCAACCTGGTCGCCAGCAGTGCCCATTCTCTGTAACTGGTCTTTCTTCACAAGATGGCAGAATGCTCCGACATTGAGTAGGACGGCAGCGAGGACGGCAGCGAGGAGAGCTTCCAAGAGACTACTGAGGACGAGACTAATGAGGAGGTGCAAGAAGAGGAAGACGAGAAAGACTATAGAAGGGCAATTCTAGCTGCAGTGAACAGCGTTGAGAGGCCGGGGAGCTTTGTGGTAAAAGGCAGTCTGGAACTTTACGCGCCTCCAGGACTTGTGCTTCCAGAGCTTGGTCTGGTCAGCTTGCCCCTCATCTCTCAGCAGGCAGAAGCGATTGCCAAGCTGTGTTTCCAAGCACCTTTTGGTCGGAGGTAAGCTACTGTACTCCTATAGACTTTATTTGTGGGTGAATTGCATTGGTGACAAGCCTTTCTTTTAAACTGAAGTTGGTTGCAAAGTGGTCACAGCTCTTTCATTTCTTTCAGTGAGCTGTAATCACTCCTGCGCTCATCTTGCACCCAGGCTGAGGTTGGTCAAATAACTGCACCTACAGGAATACAAGCTTCGGCGTAGTGGTTCGGCCACTTCCTAAACTAGTTTACACCTCAGCTCAATCTTTGTGGTTCCCATCAAAGTCTAAGGCAGTCAACATGCTCTTCTTGCAACAAGTCAAAAGGGAGTGTTATCCTCTCTGCAGAGAAGCCACAGTCTATGATCCTGAGGTCCGCAAGTGCCTGCAGCTTTCTCCAGACCAGTTCCAGCTCACAAATTTCCGCTGGGATGCCCAAGTCCGGAGCATTGCTGGAGGAGACATCAGGCGGGATTTAGGACTACCTGAAAAGGTGTCCGTCGTACCTGAGCTGTACAAGCTACTCTTGTATGAAGTTGGAAGCCACTTCGTGCCTCATCGAGATACGGAGAAGAGCGAAGGGATGTTTGGCACACTGGTTGTTGTGTTGCCGTCAGCACATTCTGGAGGTGAGGTTCACTAGCATACACTGGACACGACAATGGGGACTGTATAGGAAGCTGTGGCTCTTCCTTGCTCTTCATAAACAAGCACAAAAAGCCTGCCTGATCAGGAAAAGTGGTGCACTGCTTGCAAAGTAGTCTCTAAAAAGCTTTCCTTAGTAGAAAGGAACAAGCTGGGTCACACACCCAATTCTTGTGCCTGCAGTGCTCGCTTATCATTGGCTTGATGATCACAGACAGTTGTAAAAGCTCATGTCTAGGAGAAATCAGGTTAGGAAGATAAGATGCCAGCTGCCCAGTCTTTCTGCCTCTTGAAGTTTTAGCTCCTCAATTCTGCAGGGGAGTTGATCGTCCGCCATGCCGACAAGGAGAGCATGTTTGATTCGGGCAAGCAGAGCCTGCACTGCGTCCACTACTGCGCCTTCTTCGCCGACTGCGAGCACGAGATCCGTCCCTTGAATGAGGGCTACCGCCTGGCCCTTGTGTACGATCTGGTAGCACAGAATACGGCACAGATACTGACGCCTGCAGACAATCGCACAGCGGTCCAGCATATTCTGGGGGCGGTCGAGGCTTGGGGCGAAGACGAGGAAGGCCCTGATAAGCTGGTGATGCCCTTGGCACACAAGTACTGCACAAAGAGCCTCGCCTTCGGAAGCCTCAAGGGCACTGACATTGTCACAGTTGAAACGATACTGCAAGCACTTGATGCCAGTGTGAGTGCATCCCCTCAGGCAGGTTGCCTTTCTTACTTGCCACCCCTTAGGCAGGTTGCCTTCCTCACTTGCCAAGACAGAGAGTGCTTTTAAGTTGGTTCTGTTTACTCTTCTCACTGTTTCCTATCTTCAATGACAAAAATCACCTGATTTGCGTGCTGCTTGTGGCTTCTTTAAGACTGCAAAAGTCCACGTTCAGCATGTTGGTGCCCCCTTCTCCAGAGTATCTAAAAACCGAGGGACTTGTCTTCATTGCTGCATTTAACCCATCAAGCTGGTCTCTGTACTGTGGTGACCCTGAAACTTCATTGCAGGTGGGGTCGACCGAAACGAGCTTCCAAGTGTCTCTTGGTATGCTGAAGAAGCGAGAGTACGGGTATGGATCTGACGGCGGCCACATTGGGGTCGAAGAGTCCACTCTGCAGCTTCACAGACATAATTGTTGACGAGACAGGTAAGCTGTGCTTTGCTTTTGACTGACCCGTTTTAGGCCCATCTTGAAGCTATTAACGAAACCGTTAGACTCGTTCCGTAAAGCACTATCGCTGTGGTGAGTCCCTTCAACGCGGTTTGTGTGACCCGCTTCTCAAAGCACATGCAATGGATGGACTTTTTTCTTTCAAAGGTTCAATGCTTTCTATAGAAGAAAAGAGTCAAGCATGTTGTCGACCACCTTCAAGGAGAAACGGGTGCTCTGTTCAATTGTCCCTCGATTGAGACGACATCTGCCTTTCTTAACCATTTTTTCGGGCCTGCAAAGGATACGGCCATGAGGTAACTACCACATTCAAATGTTGACCTGAAAAAATTGCAACTATTCCAAAGCTGGCTGCAGCACTCGAATAGGACTCCCTGCAGTAGTGATATTCCAGAACTACAGAGAAAAAGTAAAAGCCCGACGGTCTTTTGCCACGTGGGTACCACACACTCACACCAATCAATCCTGCAGAATACTGGCCTCGAATTCATGTTGTTGAAGGGCATGTTGACTGCAGGAAAGCACCGGGGGGACGGGAATGGTTTTTTTAAGGGTTAGGGTGGGGACGGTGCGGAGCGTGTGTCACTGTTCGGTTCGTGTAGTCAAGTTTGGTCGTGGCCCCGAGCACTACCCTTGGTTAAAATGCGCTCATTAAATATGAATTCGAGATTATTTGCAGAAGTGCTCCCTGAAGACGCGCTGCGGCACTATGCGTGGGACCATTACGACGTCGAAGAAGCCACCGGGAACGAGGGGGCTTCGATGGACCGATGGTACCACCACGCAGCGCTCGTTCTTTGGCCCCATGCCAAATACTGGAAGGTCAAATGCGCCAACGACCTGGAGGGCGCGGTTGAGGTAGGTAGGCGTTCTTGCGTTTTAGTAACCTCCAGCCAAGCTTGCTAGCAGCCGTTGATCGGGGTATGAAGCTTGCTTGCACGCTCGACTCCGTGACAAACAGCAGCCGTCCCTTGTGACTGACCGACGTTGACGTCTCAAGCCTCCGTCACTTGCTTGAGCCTTTGAACAGAGTTCCATCAACCTCTTTATCACCAAGCAGCCGACCAATCTGGATCTGATGGTCCCTGCAGAAAGCCGTTCGTTTAGCGGGGGACATCAAAGATCTGCCGCCTGAATCGGAGGAGACAAAGGACATGGAGCGCGCGCTTGACGCCCTATGCCAGGCTGGGGCAGACCTTGGTCCAAGCCAGGCAACTGATGTGGCCAGGTTTATCATCGAGCATGGAGTTGCTGAGATGGCGGAGGTAAGGCAGCAGGGCAGCGGTGCAGCCTGCTTTTGTTTTTTCTGCGATTAAGGGTGCGCGTCGACCGAAAAGCTGCAAACAGCTTTCCTGGTTTTCTAGCCAACCGGATGGCTTTTCAGATCCACGTGGTAACCCAAGGTACATACCAGAAATGTAACATGCCTTGAAAAGTACCGTACCTCCTACTTGTCGGTACTATACAAAGGTAACACTGGAGGCCAGGTTTTCGGTCGACGCGCAACCTAACGATCTAGACGGACCCCCTCGGTTGGTGTGCTCCAGAAAGTCAGTTGCTGTAATAGGTGGATATTTCGGGACAACTCCGTAATATTGATCGTCGTTTCAAGACCAGAGTGGTGCACTTTGGACTCCCCGTTCTGACATACTTGGGACCTAGGTCAGGCTTACGTTGAACTTCGTAAGCTTCTTTGAGGGAACAACAGACTGTCGCCAGAGCAGCCGTACGTTAATATAGAAGCTATCCTTCGACTCTGCAGATTCTGATGGGTACGCTCCCCATCTCCTCCGCGGCTGACGTCACCGTGTTCCTCGGAAGCCACTTCGGCTGGGCGTCTCTCGAGGCCGCTGTTACGGGCGTTTTCGAGCGAGCGTGCACTCCCTCAAGCCTGGCACTTTGCTTCGACCTGCTTCTCCGGATCGCCCCGTCAACCGGCAGTGCCGCCGACGTCGTAACGGGGGAGCACTCGGACCAAGCCCCTGTGAACCCCAAAGCTGGTCAACCGCTCAAACCGCGCAGCCCCTCAGAGCTTGGAGCCACTCCACGTGAACCGGTCTACCAACAACCGGTCGGGGCCACTGTTTTGCAGCCTCCTGGGGGCGAAGCAGCCGTTGAGGACGCGAGCGACAGCTGCGTGGAGAGTGCTGACGACGAGGGGAGCGCGCGCGAGCGGGCAGACATGTGCGCGCGCATCGTGCCCCTGCTGGTCGCCACGATCTGCAAGGGCCTACCCCGGGCAACCGCGCGGCCGTACTCCTACTCCGCGCCTACCAAGTTCTGCCTTACGGACGTCGCAACGGCGTCCGCATATGCCCGGGTCTTGGATCGTTTCGGAGCTGACGCGTGGCAGCCTGCCACCCCCATCTTGATAAAAGAGCAGATCGGGTTTGCTTTCGCGGCGGTTCCCGAGATGCTCTCTCAGTTGGTCGGCGTAGAGAGCCGGGGCCCATCGCAAGCGGAGCTGACAGCGCCCGGTAAAATGTCCCCCGGGGCGACCATCCTGTGCCAGAATCTGGCGAGCGCGTTCGTGGCAGAGCTGCTGGCCGATCTCCCTGCGTTTCCTAATCCGTCGGGTTACGGCGGCTACGGATACATCCATAGCGCGGATCGCTCCTCCACCTTCGTCACCGCTTCGCTGAAGGCTCTGCACTGTCTTGCCGTTGAACCATCCGTTCTCGACCAGGTTGCAGCCCACTTTGTCGCCAACCCCAAGTCTTACTGCATAGACAACGCACTTCTGCCGGCGATCAGGCAGCTCTCCGACTGGCTGGGACACGCGGCGCCGCACACGTCCTGGTTCGTCACCCTCTGGCGGGCGTGTGTGAATGCGCTCGAGGCGAGGGCGGCGGCGCGGCCGGCTGAGCCGCGCACTTGGGCGCTCCCCGCACTTTGTGGCTGCCCGTGTAGCCAATGCCGACAGCTGACGGAATTCTGTCGCAATCCTGTTCGCACAACCATAAAGCTGCCCGTCGCGAAGCCCATCAAGAAGCACGTGCAAAACTCTATTGAAAGGTGAGGACGCAGCATACCGCAACAGGATCTTTGAACCTACCAGCGGTTTTAATCTGTTCAACAGCGACGAGCGTGTTAGAGAAGAGCAATCAGCTGCTCAACTCCTTGAAAACTCCTTCAGCTGATTGAGAGGTGTCGTGAGGTTCAAACCCGTGTTACTTGTGTGTACAAATGCGGCGAGAAAGTGGGCTCAAATCTAATAAGCGTTCTCGTTCAGATAGCATTTTCTCGAGCAACAGGCTTCTTAACTTGCTTGGATGCGCGTGGGCCGCTGATGAGTTTCGGATCAGGGTGTTCTTCGGCGCCCTGCTAGTCATCTTGGCGCTTAGCATTCCTCGTTGACGTCTTCATGCAGTCACAAGCTGCCCCTTCAGATCGTCGGGGGCTTCGATGGGGGGTTCGGCAACCCCTTGGTGGTCCAAAAGAACGGCTCCAGAGGTGCCCCGGACGAGGAGGCGCTGGAAAAGTATCCAGCGCAGAAGGCAGCCTACGAGCGGGATGTCAAGACTCTATTGGAGCTGAGAGCGCTGAGCGGGGCCGTAATGCAAGAGCGAACACCAAACACGCTGCTGCAGAGCAAGAATCTGAATGGGCAGAAGAACGAACAGCATGTAGATAAGCGAGCAAGGGTTGTAATTGATCTAGGTGACGAGTGAATGCGAGAGGGTTTAGTGCTCCATATTTGAACTCTTTAGAGTTCCTTTGCATTCCAACATACCGCCACAGCCTCGAGGGGTGACCTGAGGCGGGTTGTCTGTACAGTAAGTCTCGCTGATGTAATTGTGCAGAACGCCATCACCTTCAAGATCACGGAAGACCGTTCGACATGAGATCCCCTTTGTACGATTATTGTGTATCTACAAAGGAGGTCTTGGAAGCGAAACCTGTTAGGCTGTACTGAGCGATGTTGCGATTGGACGCCCGAAAAGATGTTAAAACAGTGAAAGCACGTTGATTTTAGAAGTTTGCTAGCCGGTACGTACAATATGTCAAAGAGGGGAACCAGGTCACCTGATGTCATCTTGCCAGGTCACCTGATGCCATCATGCCAGTGTGAAACTGTGATGGGTAAACATGACAAACTTCCGTACCGAACATTAAGTTGGTCAACACAGATTTCATAAGATGGTGTGCATTGTTTCAGTGCGGTTCCTTGAACTACCAGCTTCTGAGGGCGGTGAATTTCGTGATTTTCCGATGCGAAACTTGTGATGGGTTCGGCTCGAGCCCCACATTCCTAATGCAATCAAAGTGGGGTTCTTCAACATGAAGTTCCTTGCATGATTGGTGCACAAGTACAGCGCGGCCGCTTACTTGGGTACACAGCTTTCTGGGATCCCCGTTCACCAGCATGGCCCTGTCTGCAAAGTAGCATATGTACTTAAAGTACGTGGTTATGCCAGGCCGACGATCATTGAGGCGGCCTGCATGCACGGTGACTGCACTGATACAATATATAGGTAATGACACAATACAGCACTAATTCTAGAGAGATTGCGGCCGTATATATATCCCAAATGTCAACGTCACGACGGCTTGAAACGCTTTGGAGAGTGCAGGAAATGAACACGTACAGAACTCGGAAGGGCCATATGTAAGTCTCTCTTTGCCGGCGGCCTTCCGGCCAGTCATGACAAAATTGACAACCATGATTTTGCGCTGCGTATAATGTATTTGATTCCAAAGAGATCATGACAGCCATGATCGAGGAGATCCACCTCCGCATCCGGATGCGGAGGCCGAACCTCTCCAACTCGCGGCAAGCACTATGCTGCATGCCGGCCATGTGCAGGTGCGGTGGCAGCGAACTCCGTGTGCATACGAGCGGCGCCGGGCGCCCAGCTAGCATTCACAATTTCATGTATATACGTGTCTCGTCATCGGCGCTGGCACTAGCCGGTGGCATTGTATCCACTTATATTTCAAGTTTGCATGAGATATAGGAACCCCTATACTTTTGAATGAGAAGAAAGAAACATCAATCAATCGGGCCCGACCTATTGTGATCGGATTCCCTGGACTGAGAGCGGTTGCACCATAAGCATCCGCATCGCGCAATAGCTCAGCATGACATGCATGCACATCAACACAAGGTTCTGGCCATGAAGTCCTCTACCATTAAGAACCGTCAATTGCGCCATCAGAAGCCTATGGCCCATGGGTGGCTACGGCGTGTATAAAAAGAGCATTTAAGACCTGCCCCCTGGGGCCAACCTGGCCCTAGACATGAACATATAAATTGTGAGTAGGCCATGCAACTTGTGAATGTATCTAGCTGACACATAAACTCTCCTGAAAGCGGATTTGCAACCTGCAACCTTATAAGATGTCGCAACCTGCCACAAGAAAGTTGTACCAAGAAACCGTGATTACATCACGGGCCCCATTGGAAGCACATGACGACGCCCCTTTCCACAGTAAACACTGATGTTCGAACTTCCGTTCTCAAAGAGCGAAACCTCGTCAACTTCGTATCAAAAACAAGCGAGTAAGCTTTCGACGCTCAAAAACTTTAGCTTAGGCGCCCTTTCTATATGCATACAGCTTCCCAAATACATGGAGAAGTGTGACGAACCCAATGAATGCTACACTCATTACCAGAACCACAGTGGGGCTGATCTTCAGTCCAGGTGCATCATCTGTGTAAAAGCGCATCAAACTGCTGCTGACTGCCCCTCCATAACCTGACCGCCTCCGCGGACCCTTAGCACCTGAACAAGATATACGTAAAACAAACTAACCATTGATGGCTTTCTTCTCTTGCACGATTGAAATCCATAGAACTAGAGGAGATTCCGCCAACACCGACAGCACTCAAAACGCTTGGTCTGCTTCCGTAGTTTTACCTCGTAATGAAAGCGATCAGAGACCAGTAGAGTCTACTACCATGGCAAAACCGTGGTTGTCTTTTGCTCATGTATAACAAGGGCACATGTCTCCCTACATAGCATCTGTTGGCTGCAACCAGCCATGCATCATCAAAGGACAGCCCTGAGTAGTCACAGCTTTGATCTCTCGTGAACTATTCTCCACCCTTCCAAATGAACCGGGCAGGATAAACCATTCCTAGCATCAGAGGTCAGTCTTGATTGTCCGCTTCCACTGTGATTTTAACCAGAATGCGCAATTGGTATTACTGAACCAACTCTTCCCGTCGCTTTATGCACGCCAACTTGATCCGAATCATGAAAATGGGAGACAAAGTTCGTTCGTCAAGATGGAAAACGCTGGGCACTTTCACCACCGAGAGTTACGATGTGTTTTCAACGGAACAGGATGGACACCAAAGAACTGTAGTAATAATCTGACCCCGCACAATGAAAGAGCGCTATGCACTCAAGAATGTCCAATGGATTGCCTCAAAAACCCTAATTTACAAGGATGCATACGCGGTTGCCAGAGGCTGCCAGATCAAAGATACCCTCACCAATGAGAATCTTCTGACCTACCTGCACTGCTGAAGATGATCTAAGGATTGTTGCTCGATGATGGCGCAGTTGCATCTACTGGCAGCTTATTGCAGCTCAGAAGACATTACGATCCACCTCAAAATCGCACGCGAATAAAGGAAGCAGCATACCTTGCACCAAGTCGAATATAGAAAACTGTGCCACCCTGGTTTCTAGATTATGGTGACTCTGAGCTACACAGCTCCAGCACATTCAATTGTCAGAGTTTACCTGAGGCGGTTGAGTCAGATCCAATCAGGTCGAATCCCTGATAAATTCCTGCCAGCCTCCACCAAACCAATCAAAGACCACCTGTGCCCACTCACCTCCCGATGGTCTGCTTGCAAGCGTCCCCGCTGGCGGCGCAGCGGTCGCTGCTCCGCTCCCCCTTCGGACCAAAGACGATGCCTGGCTGCTGGAACCCTTCGGAGGCATGATGGCTTTGCTGGCAGAAACACACTGTCTCGTTCTATAACAGAATCGGAGACAATCAAAGCCCTTGCGCCACCGAAACAATTCAAACAAGCACCTAGCTACTAGTACAAGCGCCTGCTGTGCGTTGACCTGAGCAGCTGTTTGTCAAATGAGGCTTGGCAGTTGAACTTGAAAGCAGGAGCTGGAGATGGCTGGAGAACAACAAATTTGCTATACCGGTACGCTGTTGTTCCGATGAAGTACCCAAACCAACTTCCGGTCTGATCCCGCCCTAAGGAGGGGAATGAAAGCGCTTGGGTACTTGATCCTCTAGGATTGAAACTAGGGTTTGGAGAGTGGTGTGTCCCCCAGCTCGCCCACCACTGCAGCGTACTGAGCTTGCTTTGTGATCTGCTTTGTAAACAGCTCGAAGTGCTTTTGGCCAACTTGCTTCTCAGGTGCCTTCAGGAGCTCTGGGACATTGAGAAGATTACGCTTTTCAAGATCAGAGGATCATTGAATATCCTGGTGTAAAGACATGGCAGGCCTTGATAGCAATCCGGCTAAGCGGAGGCGAAAAGGCAAGAATGCACCCCCTGAGGAAAAAGAGGCCGAGCGATTAGAAGCGGAGAGGAGTGCTGCAGAGGCGGCTCACCTTGAGAAAGAGCTCTTTGGTGGCACAGAGGAAGATTTTGATGCATTCGGGCAGGAGGAACGAGTGGAAGAGACGCCTGTTGAAGGGGTGTTAGGGTTTGAAGATCGGCGGGGGGCGAAGGGGGATGCTGATGAGGTACAAATTCATGATTTTCCGCCTCGACACGTCAAAAGCTTTTCAAAACGCTCCGCAACAAGTGTCACTGGCTCTTATCATCAAGCAAGCGGTAATGGTTTGTTTTCAGCTTCTGCATGAGTTTGGAGCTCAAGGGTAAACTCTGGAACACCGTTTTGATTTGGTGGTGCTTTTGTAGCGCAGGTTTGTCTCTGAAATTCTGGGTGTCTGCAGCTTTCCTCGGCTGGTGTTTACGTCAAGCTGCACCCACCACAACCACTAATGTGTCAAGGCTTACAAGAGGATGGGCACTAGTTATTAAATCGTCTTGAGCACCACCACATGGGTTGGCCACTGGTCCCGCCCGACAGTGCCCTCGTATTGGCTCCTTGCTATGTCATTGCTCTGATGGGTTCTTTATGTCCTCTTGATTTGGCAAGGCTACATTGGTCCAATTGAGTCAGCATTGTACAATACCGCACCACTTGCCTGCGGCCAGTGAACCAAGTCTTTCTGGTTTTTTACTGGCAACAAGCTGAAACAAGAGGTCTGTTTGACTTTGAACAGTGACTTTGCAAGTTGTATGCAGGCGATTCTGATATGCTGGTGCTCCTTAAATCAGGGCTTGAGCTGGACGTTTTGTGATTTCGATTCAACTCTATCAACTCGGCGCATTAGAACACCAGCTGAGTCACATCAATTAACGAAGCTTCAGATATTTTTCTGACAATCTCAGCAGATCACTATAGGCATGTCTCATGTTGAGGAAATGATGCACCACCGTACTGCAGACTTCAACTGCCGCACCTTGACATTGACAGTGACTTAATTATGAAAAAGTATGACGGTGACTAAAGTAGACAAAGTCTATTCTTGTCTTTGCAGGATGAAAGGGCAGGCCCCCGGCCGGCCTGGGTGGACGACGAAGACGAGGAGGTCACAGTAAACATAGCCAGGGTGAATAGGCTCCGGAAGCTGCGAGCAGAGGAGGAAGAGGTGGTGTTAACAGGCGCCCAGTATGCTGAGCGGTTGAGGACACAGCATGTAAAGCTTAACAGGGGGACGGAGTGGGCGAAACTAGAAACCAGGGGGAAGCGAAGGCTGCTGCACGAGGGGGGGTGGGAGGAGGAAGGCGAGGAGGAGGAGCGGGGGGAGATCTTGAGGGAGGCGGGGGACCTGGTGGTGAGTTACGGTTCGTTGGGCTCCCTGCATTCTGGTTAATGTTAACCACGCATCAGCGATTGGGCTCACCACCTTTCAGTGCCCATTGCCCTAAGCCCGGCCTGCAGTTGAGCGCAGCGACTGCGTCGTCTGGGCGACACCGTGGCATCCCCTTGAAGGGCGATATGTGCTGTCAGAATTGTCTAGGCGGAGCGCTGTTGTGTACCAAGAAACTCAAGAAAAGCTTTGGGTTTTCTTGAATTGAACTCAAGAAAAGCTTTGGGTTTTCTTGAATTGAACCGCCACTTCATTGTGCATATGGTGTTGCCAACGAGCTGTTTCCCTTTTGGCTTTCAATCCCAAGCTGTGATGCCTTCACCTCCGTATTAGGGAATCACCAGGAGGTTGGAGCTTGACTTCTGCAATGTGTTGTTTCTTTGATCTATCGTTGTGATAATCTTGGGGCATGCCTGCTCAACACTCCCTTGGGGACCAGAAATTTGATGGCGGACTGAAAGTGGAAAATACTGGCTGGTGGCGGCAGTCCTGGCTGACGTCAACATTGTCAGATATCCCCCGCCCAAACTTGCATACTCACTTCTCGATTGCTTTGGTCTCTCGTTGAAATAGACACGAAAGCATCGTCCTATAAAGTGTTCAGCAATGACAAGTAACAGAAGCCTTTCAACACTCTGTCTAAGTACTGGTCTGAAAGTCTTGACCCTAATGTAAGACCTAGCGTGCTCCATGAAAGGGACTCCATGCGATATCTGCTTTCTGGTCCAGGTGCGAAGCCGGACGAAGCTGCCTCAGACCGTGCTGGAGGCCACCAGGATGCGAGACGCCAACCAGGAAGAGCCCACAAAGGTGAGGGGGAATACTCAGGCCTATGGAAAGTCATGAAGGCACTAGTTGACATGCCCTTCCTGAAACATTCCACGGGTCTTTGGTTGAAGTCCTGACTGCTGCCTTCCAAGTGGGAGTAATTCCTTATCGGTTTTCAGTTCTCGGCCGCAGCAATTGCTGTGCGAAACTTTGCGGAGTACAAAAGAGTGGCTTTTCATTTTCAGACTGGGCAGATTGTGAGATAAAGTTGACCTCGAAAACATCTTCGGCTGGAGTGTGTTGCATTTCGAAAGGCAATTGCAGCAGATTCAAGTTGTGACCCTAGCCTAGGTGCTTTGCTGGAAAGTGTGCTTCATTGAAGGCGTTTGATTCCATGTCAAGTGACGTATAGTGCCTCCCTGGTACATTGGATGTATGGGCTCTGATGGACAGCACGCTCTGATCTTGCATCCGACGCAACTGACGCGAGGTGCGATAGCCTGAGCCAGAACTGCTTCGCTGAATCACTCAGGTGGAAGTGTGCTCTTGTTGGGGGGCTGGCCTGAATGGTGTACGTGCAGGAAAAAACATTTTGAGCAGGAGCACTGAAAGCGCGCACTTTTGTCACGTTTTCAGGCCACCACATTGTCCTGTCAATCCATGTCTAAGGTCTTCCCAATTTGACCGACCTGGGACTGCTTATGACAGGCGAGAGTGATTTAGTTATCTGTTCTGCTTGTCAAGGACTGTTGTTATCATATCCAGGACGTGGACGAGGGCTGGTCAGTGTGACAAATCTTGGCCCTGAGTCTGTTACTGGCAACTGCACCTCGATCTGTCAGATTTGCTCTTGGAAGGTTGCACCTTTTTGGGTTTGAAAATTGCATCAGCACCTGGTTGGGCATCAAGTGCCGTTAAGGGGGCCATTACTGGAGACTTCAATCGATGCACTGTTGATCGCTTACTGATCAGCTATCCTTTTATGAGGTCTGTGAGCTGTCGCACGGACATGGCAAATATGGGCCAGTTGCCATTGACGTTGTGCCAGACAATACTGCGCGACTCTGAGCCTGTGATACGAGACTGCATATTAACAATGAAAGAGAAAAATTTGGTTGCAACAGAGTTGGCACTTCTTTCTTGTTTTCCAAGTGTGGCGCCACCTGAATTCTTGGTTGTGACCTACCCTGGTCATGAGTGTGAGGTGCACCAGAATCAGGTTTTTCAAGGGCAGCCTGCCTTTCCGTCGACCATGACGACTTGGACTGCTACTACTAGCCTTGTGGACGCACGCTCGTTTTCTGGGCTCTCGCCTCGGAAAAGGATCATGAAGACTGCGAGGTGTATAGTTTAGTTTCCGCTTTTTTGCTGCTTGGCTGAAGCTACCGTGCTGCATCATCCGGGTGCTTTTTAGAAAGGATGCGGTCCTCTTTACCCAAAGATCCGAGCAGCGTTTGAGACGGAACATTTTATAGTCGTGGCTCCAGTCAATCGCTTCAAATTTTGTTCCTTATATTGGCCATGTTGATCTGACTGGCTGACTCAACGTCAATTTCGGTCGGAGTTTCTGAGCCTTCATTTCTCAACAAGTGACTAGGTTGCCTATTTGTCAAGAGACGAATCAAGATGCACTTGGCGGAAGCTAGAAATACATGGTCTAGGCAAGGATTTACTTGGGAGTCGTATTCTTTCAAGTTCCTAGTCAAGCTCACCTGCAAGGTCCTTGAGGTCACTGCACCCCCCCCAGGCGGTCCCGTTTCTCCGCTGGCAGACTGCACCCGTGGGGCTTTTTCAGAATTGACGCATTAGGGGCCATCGTAACCAAGCAATGTTCGAAGAGTAAACTTTCTTTAATGCTGTCCATTTGCCTCCGCTGTAATTCTGGCTTTTTTGTAGCCTTTGTTGTTACTCTACATGAGGCTGTGGCAGCACTCTGCTCCCGCCAGGATTATTGGTGCCTCTTCGTGACGGTCTCTTTCGGTGGTCGATTGTCTCAGAAAAGTCTATGCGACTCTTGGACGTAGGGATGAACTTGCGTGGTGGCTTCTAGGTAAAGGCCATGATGACTTAAATCCTGACATACGTCATGGACATGTCGGTAGTCTCCGAAGCCTTGCAGTAACGATAGGAACGGTGCTTGTCTCAGGCTCTTGCAATACTTAAAGCAAGTACAGAGCATTGCAAATCGTCAACCAGTTAGCTGAAGTCCAACGCTATCAACAAATTCGACTCGGGGCCAAAGCCCTTTCTGCCCAGGATACATTTGTCACCGCCAGCAGACCGCAATTTTTTTGTTCTTTGACTGCCGTTCGTCTTCTTTGTTTGGCATCAGCCCATGAAGATAGTTGCGTGGTACCTTTTGGACTGCCTTTTCTATCGAGCCTCGCTTGCAAACAACAAAAGGCGGTGTCAGAACTACCTGTGCCTCTTTTTAAGAGTCCAATCTGTGGTTTAATATCTGGAGTCCTGGTCAGGCTGTGAAGAAGGGCATTGGCAAATTTGTCAGTGGCTTCCTGCTAGCATTCTTGAGCCGCAGCACCGACTACAACGCTTGCAGACATTGTCACCTTTGCTTTGTCAGAGCAATCATTGATAAGCCCACATGTCATCACCATGCCTTTCTTTCCGGCTTGACAGACGGTTCCTCAACTGGCAAAGATTCTCTCCTTTTGCCGTTGCGTCGTCAAGGCGAAACCCTAGATACCGCCCCTGTTCGTCCGGAAGCTCTCCTTTAAAACCATTGAGAGATTGCCGATAGCACCGTCAAATGTGACAGGTATCATCCCCCCTTTTTGCGCTTCTTGCGAACCAGAATCCCAGGCTGAAAGCTTACTCGATTGTCGCTCCTTACAGGGTTTGGTGTGCAGCTTGTGCTTCCAGCGCATTGGCAGCTACTGCTCTGATTCCCCTGCCAATGACCACATTTTTCTGTCTTCTCCCTCCCGGGCCTTTATGTTCAGCACAAGTTCCCCAAAGGAATCATGCCGAAACTTTGGCTCGAATCTTGAGCTCGCTTCTTTTCGGAGCGTGGTGCGCAGTGTGTTTTCGACTCAACGTGCAGCTACGACACTGTTTGCTTTCAAACCTCTCTCCGGCGGAGATCTTCTCCTTGCCGCCAGCCAGCACGAGGGAGCCAAAATAACTTTGTTAAATACTTGGCTGATATTTGTAGCTCATTTTATCCACTCCTCTCGCAGGGCGTGGTGCGCAGCGTGTGCTTCCACCCCAACGCGCAGCTGCTCCTGACGGCGGGCCTGGACAAGACGGTGCGCTTCTTCAACGTGGACGGCAAGAAGAACCCGCGCGTGCAGAGCTTGTTCCTGGAGGACATGCCCGTCGCGAAAGCCGGGTTTACCGGGGATGGTCGCAAGGTGGTAGCTGCGGGGCGACGGAAGTGGTTCTACGTCGTGGATCTCGCGTCGGCGCGGGTCGAAAGGGTAAGTATTGAGATGTGGGTAGATCCCCTGTTGGATTCCTCTTTCTTGTTTCGTTCTTTTTTTGAATCGTAATCTCTTTAGTTTTGGAGGTTGCATACCGCAAGTGGTTTTGCGATATAAGACACGTCCCGGCGCGGGTTGAAAGGGTGAGTGCTCTGTTTCACCGTAGTTTCGATTGCTGTTTTCTCTCTTTCTGGGCTTGTTTTCTTCCGGGGTGTCATTCCTGCAATTCTGGTGGCCGGACGTCGCACACAGGTTTGCGTCATGGATTTTGCCTCAGCGCGGGTGGCAACGTTGCATCATCAGGTTCGTAGACTTTTCCTTGTTAGTTTCTTCCTCTGGATTGTCTTCCTTTGAAGTAGTTGCCAGACGCAACGAGTGGCCAAGTCATGGCTGTTGACGGGTCAAATCGGTGAAGCAGGCAAATGTATACCCTCCCACTCTGTCGCGAAGTCAGATACCACTTCAGCTCTTCTGTACTCCTTGACCTGGACAAGTGCATTTGTAATTTTGGACCAGGATGTGTTCAAGGAGCCTGTTAGGTCTTCGCAGTGACTGTTCCCAATCCGCTCGCGAATCCCAGAAGCTTGATAAGAACGATATAGAGTTGCTCTGAGCGGGGAATACTTGCAATACCCTGCTTTCAACGGGGCCCCTTCCTGGTTGAGAAAGGCACCTATTCCGAGAACAAGGGTTGCGGAAACTCGTTGGCCCCAGCAAAATTTGGGGTCTTATCAGGAAAGGCGTCAGGTACCTATTCTCCGAGTCAGCTTCAAAGGACTTTCAGGAATCCTATCTCGACAACGTGCACGGAGCAGCCTTGGTGGACGGAGAGCTTCCAACATCGTATTTGGTGCCTTCTCTGCCTTCTCCTTACTTTGTTCCGGTTGGACCTCGCTTCTGACACCCAGCTTCTCCTCCTCCATCAGATTGGCGGCATCGTTGGGCGTGAAGAGAAGAGCCTCGAAAGCTTTGCGCTCTCGCCCCTCGGCGACCAGGCCGCGTTTCTCGGAAACGAAGGCCACGTCAGTCTGGTTTCCCTCCACTCCAAGCAATGGATCGGCACGCTCAAAATGAACGGCTCCGCTCGCGCGGCGGCGTACGCCCCCGATGGGAATACCCTGCTGACGTCTGGAGGAGACGGAGAGATCTACCACTGGGACGTGCGCACCCGGCGGTGCATGTACCGCACTCGCGACGAGGGCTGTGTGAAAAGCTCCGCGTTAGATGTGTCATCGGACGGCCGGTATTTCGCCACGGGGTCGGACAGCGGGGTGGTTAACGTCTATAACCGAGCGCGGTTAGGGGTGGACGATGAACCCGTGAACGAGCCACGTGGGTTGTTCTCCACGAGCCCATCGCCGTTGAAAACGGTCATGAACCTGACGACAGTAGCGGACACGGTCAGGTTCAATCCGGACGGGCAGATTCTGGCGATTGCATCGCGGATGAAGAAAGACTCGCTGCGGTTGGTGCACCTGCCGAGCGGGACCGTGTTTCAGAATTGGCCCACGGCGCGGTCGCCGTTGCAGTTTGTGCACTCGTTGGACTTCAGCCCGGGGGGCGGGTTCATGGCGGTCGGGAATGCGAAAGGGAAGGTACTACTGTACAGATTGCATCATTACGAGCACGCATAGTCAATGAGCGGGAAAGTTTCATGGAAGATCGGGCCAGCGGGTAGACGAACAGGCCTAAATGATTTCATAGGTCAAACTAGGGCCAATGCTACCATTTAGCTTGACATTGATCAAGTCGATCAAAGTAGCGTGTATGAATCAACTTGACACAAGATTCTAGAGCATGTTCTTGATGAATATCGTGGCTGTGGATCTAGCTGTTTCGTTCATTAGTACGTCATCAACTTTGCTTGTCACATTGCAGTCTATATGTAAGTTACTTGGCCGATATGGGCTTTGCTAATATCCCATCGTATGGCTGGACATGCTTGGACCCGAACAATGGCGGCCAGATGGGATCGTGTTCTGGCCGATATGAGCCTATGCTTCATGCTTATATCAACTGGCAAAGTTGCAGAAGATGATTGATTGAATCGCGTGTGACCGTCTCAGTTTGGTGGGGCGTTTGTCGGAAAATCATGTACGATCAAAGCGACTGCACATGTAGACTTTTTAACTTGGTCAAGCAACCATGCATTTGCTCGATCGGCGCACTGACACCTAGGCACTGATGGCCCTCCGACAGGCCTTTCAATCCTAGTGAATCCAAATCATTATCCTAATGTATCCGGCTGGTCCTTTGGCATACAGAATTGCCGAAGTTTAAGCTGAGCTTGACCTCAATCTGATGTACCTGCCACTATCACAATTTTAGGTACTTACTGATTGATAACGTAGTTCACTGAGAATTTCGATACCCACCTGGCAAGGTAGACGAATTACTTTGTCCAGTGCATCCAACCATCCAACCATCCAACCAATTTTGCAGGAGGCGAAGGGTACTAGATCCTAAGTATCGGCCGTGCTCGGCCTACCGTAAGTCTGATAAGGGATGCAAAGTAAGCTTGGTGCCACAGAACACCTCGGCATCTCATGCAAGTTCTAAATGACGGCCAGAACCGCAACGCGTTCCATATATAGGGCCACCCAGCTACAAGGTGTCGCTCAATCTCCGCGAAAGACGGCCGCATGACTAGAGGTCGCCTTCACCATTCACTTTCCACGCCTGTAAGGTTTCCTCTTCCGCAGGCTGCGCATCTTGATCGCCTTCCTCGACATCCTTCACCTTCATCTCGCTGCCACCTGTCCTCATTCGTTGCAGCTTCTAACGTACTCTGGACTTTAAACTCAGCCGGTGCTTCTTCGTGAAGCGGATGTGGAGGTCAGGCGCCGGCTCCTCTTCGCTCTTATCCTGAGATTCAAAAGGAGATTCTTTTCAATCGCAATTGCAATACCCGTACGATTCAGGTCGCAAGGTGGATAATCTGAGAACGGGCTAAGAACACGGGCACGAAACGAGTGACCTGCTATCAACTCTCGCGTGACCAAACGGGCTTGTGACCTAGGATACGAGTAACCCGGGCATTTAAACCAGGAAATACAATCTTGAATGTCTACCCGCTCCGCACCGGAACCCACCCTAACCACCCAACTAACTTCACCCGTCTCCCGGGTGCCCTTCTTGAGTCACACGCGTATTAAGTCACACGGGAGTTATCAGACCACGGGCGGGTGCGTAATGGCTAGCTTTCTGGTTCATGGATCCAGCACTGCGAGTATGGCTGCCCTAGGCATACACTTCTTTTAGATATGCTCAAAGGCTGAGCTTCCCGTGCAAGTGAGGACTCTTACCTTGACGGCGACAAACGCAAGCATGAGCAGACTGGGGACGATGACCCACACGCCCGCCCACTGACTCAGCAACGTGGTGTACTGCAACGTGTTGATCTCCGCAAGGTAGATGACGCCTTCCTGGTCGAACGTGTAGCCAATCTGGAGGAGGCTGAAAAGGCGAAGAGTGAAAGGGAAGCTCAAATCAACTAACAGAATACGAGGGGGCCTGGCAAATCATATGGAAGTCGAGTGGATTGGTCCATTGTCTCACGCATGATAGCCTGCTCTCGTTCCTCAGATGACGTCAGGTGGCGATCAAGCTTAGTGTCAACCGTGCAGACAATAGGAATAGTGACGATTCAGGTCGTGATATATCCAGTGGTACCTCTAGGTTTACAGCTCGGACGTGTCAGTTCTGTTAGATGCTCTTTTTCTCGAGGAGCAGAATGAATGACGAAAATCAGGTTCGAAAAACGCAGAGCGTGTCCAACGGACGAAAGGAGTGCAGGTAAAGAGATGCGGCTCACTTCTTCTCTGCGAGTTGGTCAGCTGAAAAAGCGAACGTCTGAAGGTTGGTTGTTCGGTACCAGACTTCGTTGCGGTTCCACAGCTTGTCTTTGTACACAGCCGCGAGAACCATTTGCGTAAATGTCTGCAAAACCAGAGGCCAAGCCTGTAAGCTTCTGTCCTCTTTGCTGTCCGGTTTTTTGAGAGACCTTTGTGGAAGGAATGAAGACGCCCCAGATCTTCACCCGGCTTCGACTTCTGGTGTGTCTGAAAAGCAGAAGAACAACTAAGCAAGACCGGTCCCCTGATTGCTGGCCTCACGCAACGTAGACTCGAACATTCCATGGGTTCCGTCGAAGAAGCTGCACAGTTCAACGTTACAAAGTACGCTGCCAAAGCGAGCTACTTTCATCAAGGAATCCCACATCCATATACCCTAAAACGATTTTTGATTGAGCCAAAACTTCGAGCCCACTTTAAATCAGAAAGAATCCGACGCGGCCTCGAGCTCGATCGTCTGAGTTTGGTTTTTTGACCAGGGCAACAAGTGACGGCATTCGTCTTGCACTAAGGAGCAGTTCTCTGACTCGTAGATTGCTATGTATGTAGATTGCTTTGCAAGTATTCATGTGGACTAGCAATTTGCGGAGTTACGGAATTGGAAAATGGGAATCTGGGGAACTCGGGAATTGTGAATCGAACCTGGGTGGGAAGGTCGAACTCCGTTGCTTTGTAGTCGGCGTCGTAAGGAGTGAGGATTTCCGCTCCGTGATAAAGTGTCGTCCATACAAAGGAAGGAGGTAGGGGCTCGGAGTGATTACTACTGTTGAAGCTGTTGAAACGCAGCACTGCATAGAAGACAAACCGGTTATGGCTGCGTTCTACTCAAGTTTGGATTTTGTACGTTTCGAGAAGTGACTCTGTTAAGTGACGGTGGGGAGCCTATGCTTGAGTCAAAGTACGGAGGCAACGTGAAGTACTCTGTCCAAGCGCATGGCAAGATATATTCCGAACTTCCACGAGTCAATTCTAGTCCAAATGGGCAGCTCAAAGAAGGCATATACTTCTCAGGAGCGAATGTGTCTGGACATGTGGCTTGTGAGATTCTGGATCTAGGGCTGATTTCGAGAAAGAAAGCTGATTTCGAGAAAGAAAGCTTTAGAAAATGCGATTGGAAGAGACACTCACGTATGTCCAGGTAATACGAATTGTTCCCCTCATAGCCACTGGAAGCGAAGTCCCAGCAAATCGTTCTCAGGTAGTCCTGCACAGAGTTGGATAAATTTGTTAAGTATTCTGGAAGCTCGACTTTCATACCTAGACACCACGGAGAGTACTGGTCCACTAGAGGGCCGAGGGTCCCACCAATCAGGTGTGAATAGTATTGGCCAACCTTCCTTCCGGTTCGCAAGGGCCCAACAATCCAATTCACACGTTGGTCGAGAAGAATGCTTTTAAAATCCCTATCTTCAAAATCAGAATGTTCCGTGTGCAAGGTATGAAAGGTCGAAAGCAGGGATGCTGGGTTTTGAGGAGCAACAACACCTGTAGGTCCATGGCAATAACGCCCCTTGGATATATATTAGGGAACACTTTGGCGCTCCAATCGACTTGTCAACTTGTCAAGGCTGGGACCAGGGACAACCTCGACACATTCCGGATCCATTTCAATCTTGCAGCAGCCAGACTGAAGTGAAGAAGAAGAATCTGTTGTTTAGCGAAACCGGTCCCCCGCTGCTCCACCTCCAGCCTCAGCCGCTCGGCTTCCGCCGTTTCCCTCGGCTCCTGCCACGACTGCCCGCCCTGCATCCTAGCATCCTTCTTCCGTTCTCGTGCCTCCTTCCGAGACGTCTCTCATCTGCCTTCCGAGCCCTGTCTTCTTCTTTCTCTCGCTCTTGTCCGGCCCTCAGAAAACAAACGTCACTAGCTTACTACGAGAAACTTGCACTGAAATCAATGCAATGCAAGGTCGAGTATCTCACAGCGGGAGCACGAGCGGGAAGCCGACTTTACATGGCCTTGAAAAGTTAGGGGGAAGTATCACAAAACTTCCTATGTTGGTTCATGTTCTGCTGCAGGAGAACACTTGGGATTCAACGACGAAGAAAGTTGAGTATGAGGTGCGCATTGTGCCAATCAAGAGAGTGGATAGACCCTGTCGTCTTCCATTCCAAGGAACATTCTCCTCATCGGCAACGAAGCTTCCCATAGTGCAGATACAGGAAATGAAAAGCTGCACATATAGTACATGTAGCAAAAACTCGTTTTATGAAAAACAGCAAAGAAAGCAGCCACTACCGTCGCAATGAAGAAAGCCGGCAAAACACCGTCCCCAATAAAAAGTAAACTAAAGAAGATACAAACACGGAATTTGAAATGCATTGAAATGGACTCGGAAGAAAATGCCGCTTCTGATTTCGGCCAGGGAAGATGTCTCTACAGTTTGTATTAGGACTCGTGAAGAGTTGGCAAGAATGGTTACAGACAATGGTTGTTCAACAAGTTTGTGACAGTGGACCAAGTAATTGAACTATCATGATTTGAAAATTAATTAGTTGATTATTACTAACTGTGTCACAGTGATGATAAGACCCGCTGATGAGCCACTATCAAAGACAAGGTATTCGATGAATGATACAAGGGTAAATTAGCTGATACAAATGTTGCAAGTGTCTAGAATGTACTCAATTAGCTTTCCTGTGTCTTCTGTACTGATCATATTGTACTTTCGTATCCAGCAGCAATAACACCAGGATCCTCAAAGACTTGGTACCTTTTCTTGGGACCCCCTTGAGATTTTAACAGGGTCAGCTCCCCCCTTCAGAGTTGCACCCTCCCAGGTTGCACAGCTGCTTGTGGAGAGTAAGGGACGTACTGGACGTAATGGTAATAGCAATCAAGGGTAAGGATTGATCGATTTGAGGAGATGTTGGTAATCCTCTGCCTGAACCCATGCTACAGCCCCTCTTTCTGACTCTTCCTCTGCAAACCAGTATAGATAGATTCCTGTGGTTCCCTTAAGATAACCCTGTGGGATTGCACTGAAGCTATGTATTTCTCCGGTGTCGCTAATGGCAACGTTGTCTGATACACTCCTGATGGCGGTCTCTCGAGCCGCATATCCATCCTGAGAGAGCGAAAGATTTGCGAACAGGGGGATGGTGAAATCCATAGGGCTATTAAAAGTCCTCATATAGGTGGCGTAAGGAAGGCTCGCGAACACATTACCATGGAGCTTCAAACTTTGCCAGGCGGTAGTTCTCGCAAACTCACGAAGCCTCTTGGAGTTCTCTGTTTCTAAGACCTCAAGCGGAAGAGAGCCATCCTCCCCAAGCTGAGGGACAAGATAAGCCAGTTGGTTGCGGGATTCCGACATACCGTACTTACGAAAGAAAGTCCGTCGTGAGAAACGAAAAGGGATGCATGAGCAGGGAGGAAGACTGTGGATGGAACCTTGTGTCTGCATGCCATTTCTGTTTGCGTGCCTGTCAGCGCGAAAATTCGCGACGTAAGGCATTTTGGAAAGCGCGCGGGTGACCGATTCTGTTAAGGTCTCTGACCGCTTGCCCCCGCTACCCAACGTCCTCATGAGCCACCCATGGCTCCTACGGGACAAAAAAAAACTGATCGATTGAGGTTTGATTGACCCGGTTCCTCGAACCGCCGTATTGGCCAGAACGCCATTCGGCGAAATCTCGGTCGGGGGGACACGTGGCACGCTAGGGTGGCTCCTTTTTAGGCCAACAATCCCCAAATCTCCGGACTGATATAACCAGGTGCCGCGCAAATATTTATGTCACTTTAGATTTGATGGGTACCGTACCGCCACACTCAATTCGCAGACCCCCGTTGCGAAAAAGTTATTTTCGAAGATTTTTCCATTTCGCACTGGGATATTGACAATTATTTAAGCAATTGCCAGTTTTTAGCACTTGCTGGTTAACAGCGGTAAACCCACGCTAACAGAGCTTGTTTACCAGTATAACCGCCCTATTTTCGCAACCCATAAGTATTTTGAGCGTATACGTTTTCGCACCAGCTCTTGTACAAGTAATATTTTTTTCCGCATGAACTTCACAATAATTATTTACAGTGCGAATTGCGTGTAGCGGTACGGTAGGCTCGCCGCAGGCTTAGGAACCAGTGCAGCAAACAGGTCGCCGCGAAAACAACACTAATACTTTCTAGCAAAACTCTCGCAGTTGACGCAGTATGTTTTAGTGCCGCCGGCGGTCGAGAAATTGGGCGAACTTGTCCGAGTGAAACCAAATAGACTACAACTAGCCGAGTGTTGTCCAATCGACCCAACTACCTCGGATCTCATCAGACCTTTCTGAAAGTCCTGGGTGGCGGTTGTACGTTGCCTCAGTGAAGACATGTGGCATCCGATTCCCATGCCTTTTCGAGGCACAGGTGAAAAACACCGGTGTTAGCACCTTTTCATAGCATACTTTCATTCCTCCAATTCACCCAGACACCCATGTAATTCTCTCTACATGAGAAATTTTGGAAGGATCCATCTTTTGTCAGAGATCGATCGATCGCCGCACATCTCAGACCTTTCGGAAGGAAGTGGGTGTCTGGGTGACGCGGTTATGAGCGCCATGGACGCCATGTACACTGCCTCTATGAACACTACGTGGTTGATAAAGTTTCTTTTTCGCGCTCATCTCAAGAAGATCGGCGGTGGGATCCTCATGCAAAGTTTAGCTCGTCTTCTGGAAGAGGTCGAACGTGTGTATCGATCGAAAAGATCTTCCGAGAATGGTAACAAAAGCGAACGAACATGCCGGTGACCACACGTTCCAGTACGACGAAGCATTGCGGGCGGCGGCATCCCCGAGGCTACCGGCGAGGAGAGCGCAAGCGATGTATTTTCTGACGATACGCGCGGTGTGAGACATTAGACCGGCGTGGGAGGGGCAGAGCTTCGCGCATGAGTGCAATCATGTACGTGATGATTGCCGGTCCGCATGATATAGAGTCCGTTTGTCCCGGCACATCTGTTCCGAAAACGTGCTGTACTGGCCCCTGAATGACATGCGCGTCCCTAAGAATCCGCTCGACGTTCATGAGCTCATCTGGCATGGTCTTCATCAACGGATCTTAACTGTTGAGGCGGCTGTTGAGCACGTCATAAGCGACGAGCACCCAGTGGTAGTTTGCGAGATTGATGGACATGAACACGTACCGCACCCCTCGCATGTTCGGCTGCGAAACCAATTCTGCGATGCTCCGAAAGTTGTAGGGGGCTAGTTTCCTGGTCCTCGTCCGGTCGTCGTTGCCGTCCTTCCACACGCTCTCATGGTTGCGATTCAGGAGGGGGCCGATCTGCCCGTGAGTCGCCATCGTATACACGATGCTTGGGTATGCGATGCAGTCGTCCTTGTTGTTAATTAGCTTGCACATGCCGTCCACGATCGCATCACTGATGATCTCGCCGTTGTGCAAGGTTTGTAGATCGTTGAATTCGACTGGAACTCCATTCGGATAAACACCGACCGTGATCTGCGGAGGGACGTCCCCTGGATCATCCAGTGTCTCCACGAATGTCCGCGCCTGCTCGTAAACCCGGTTGTCGAAACCCGTCAGAGAGAAGGGAAGCGGTCTACTCGGGTCCGAGGTCCCTTTCTTCCTCATTTGTAATCGTTTTCGTACGCCGGGAGCCCTCTTGAACGCGTACATATCCACTGGAGGGCTGATCTTTTTCCGTCGTGTTCTGGTGGCCATCGGTGGTGGCCTTTTTTCTGAAGTCGCGCCGTGCTTGTTTGGGATCACTCGGTTCGGACTTTTAGTCGGCAGGCCTCCCGTTTTCACCGCGACTCCAATTGAATGTTTTATTCGACCCGCCTCCTGTCTTCAGCCCGACTTGATCCTGCGTGGCATTGCCGCTGGTGCGATTCGCACTCCCCTTCCGCTTCTTCCTCTTTGTTCCTGTGGGAGGACGCTTGCGTGTAACTGATGGTGCACCCTGGCGTGCCAGCGCCCAATCGCACATCGACAGCGTACTTTCTCCAAAAATGGGACGCCCTGTGGAATTGAGCTGCCGGTATAAGGACGCCCGCTCTCTGATCGCTCTCGGGATCGCCGCATCCTCTAAGGCATAAGCCAAAAACTCGATCCAGCCGTGGGCCTTTGGCACATTGGCCCTGAGCTGACACTCTGAAACACATATTCTCCAGCATCTCGACAATGATACGCCCCTCGAGTCAGTGTTGCAGGTACACGGGGCATTTCTTTATACGTTATTACCGTTTTCGCCCAAACTGTCGCCCGAACCGGGCGCTATTCGAGCGAATAAACGATAACAATACCGGATTAGGCCCATACAAGTACGGACTGGTACCGGCTATCTGCGAACCGCCGGGTTATGAAGCCCGGTATTCGCGAACAATCCTCATATACTGGCCGACCGGCAAAACTCTGCCAGCCTGGCACGGCCTTCGAGCCGCAACCTGAGCAGCCTCAGGATGTTGCGGGCAGCGTTCACGTCGCGGATCACCGTCATGCCATGACAGCCACTGTTTCTGCAGTGGAGCACACTGTGAACTTTGACGGTCTTCACCGCCCCATCCTTGCACCGCTTCTCCGAATACTGGTTGTGCAGCTGCGTCTTGCAGTCGAAGTGCAGCTTGCTGGTCCTGAACTTCGTCCATCGAGACCACCCTGCAATGCTTGCGAAGCTCCCGCTCCAGTCGCTTCACTGGCCCGGACGGAGATCCCTTGATGATGCCTCCGGAGTCCTTGTTCGACCAGTCTCCGAAGCCCACCACCGTCTTGCACCCTACTCGCCTGGTGATAGCTTTGCAGAGCGAATGAAGCTTCTTCTGAGCCGAGATATACCGTTTGAACTTGAGCCCCCTAAAGCCCTGCCTCATGTGGTAGACGAGGAGCATGTCGAGCCTGGGCAGCATATAGTGCACGTAAGCTAGGAATTTGGTGCTCTCCGAGGTCTTCTTGGTGGGCATGTTGCGGATGGCCTCGAGCACCTCCGGGCTCTTATCGTACCACCGCTTGATCTTGGCGTTGCTGTACTTGTATTTGGCGTCACCATAGAATTCTCGAGTTGAGCACTTCAGTTTCTCTCCTTCCTCGTTGACCATGACGAAGAGGTCTCGCCTGCCCGGGTCTAGGCCCCATAGCTCCTCTTCGCCCGTAAGCTCGGGGAGCGTTGCTTCTCCTGAAGCTTGCTTGGGTTTGGGCTTCCTCAGTAAGATGCACACGGCCTTTCCGTCCGTGATTATCTCTCCTGCGAATTTGCGTTGCATGTCTCGAACTTTGCGATGTCGAAGAGGTCCCGCCAGTAGTCGTCAGCCACCTTCCTGAACTCCGCTCCCGAGGCTGGAAGCTTGACCCCTCCCCTCTTGAGAAGCCCATAGAGTCCGTTGGTGCACATCTTGAGGTGATTGCACTCGATGCCCCTCTTCGTGGGCAGGAGGCTGAAGAGCCTCAGCTGCTTGCCTTTCTTCAGTTCTTCTTCTGTCAGGGGGTGATGCAACTCTATGTAGCGCAGGAACATGTATTGCATCGGCATGAGTATGTGAGGGGTGGAGTCTGCCCTGCCAGTAGTGGCTTTCGGAAGTATGGCTCGGTACCTCAAAACCAGTGGGTCGTTGCCTTCGTACTCATCGGCGAACATGTCCCGCATCTTGGCATAGCATGAAGGGCCATCGAGCGAGTACGTGTGCTTCAGGTAGCGCTTGAAGCGCTTGTAGAAGTTCGTGGCGATGGAGTTCTTGATGCACGTGGCCATCTGAAGGCTCGCATTCTGGTACCAGCCGGAAGAGAGATGCTTGCAGTCCGGAGGCCGATAGCCTGCAAGGCGTGATGCCAGGTAGAGCTCTACGGTCTCCCTGAGGTAGAGGTCTTTGACGGAGCTCTTCTGCCTACCAGCCATGCTGACGGCAGAGAGGCAGTTGTAGAAGAAAGGCTGATCCAGAGGTGGAACTTCGCAACCCAACTCACACATCCGTAGTATATGCAGGTTAGCAAGAATGTAGGCTTCACAGATGGCCTTATTCACTTCCTTGAGCACACTCTCTAGAGGAAGGGCCCTGGCAGCCTCCTTGCAGAAGCTGTTTAGGCTGGTCTTGACCACGGTGCATTCGGTCTCTTTGTTCCTCAGGGCCCGGAGCTTGACGTCCTCTCGGGTCCTAGGCTCTTTGAAGAGCTTGCTCACGTAGGCCAGGCATTCGTGGTGGAGAGCGACGTCGGGGGGTTTCTTGGGTGGCATCAGACCACCCCTATGAGGCTCCTTAGGAAATTAGTTCTTGGAAATTTTACGCACGGCCCAGGTTATGGTAAACGAGCCGAGCGCTTATAATATCGGGCTGTCGTATACAGTACTCAAGCGGGTAAATATATACGACAATCGTATGAAATAGGTCCAACCGGGCGGTTTCGCGCGACACTTTCGACGAAAACGGTAATAACCGATACTTGCAATTGATTCGTACTCGAAGCAGAATTCTTCCTCGTCGTTGAGCTCTCTGATCCTATCCTTTGGGTAGCCGACGATATGCACATATACTCCTGCAGTGTTCTCTGCACTCCTGCAGTCCCTGAAGAGGCGTTTTAGAATGTCTTTGAGGAGTCCATAGCGTCTCTCGGCCGGGTTGAAGCGCACGAAGTGAAGGGGGAGCCGCACGAGGTCCTTGATCTTGCCCATGCGGTCCACCTCGCACGAGACGTTGTAGTAGCGGTGATGATCCTCATCGACTTCTAGGACGACTGCATGTGTGTCGAAGATGAACGCGTAATCAGGGCGTTTGATACACGAAACGTCCCTGGTAGACATCTCGCGGGCACACGGGAGTGTCTCGTCCGAGTAAGACCACGGCCAGCCCTGCTTGCGAAGCCATCCAGTGGTGAAAGTCTCCCATCGCTTGAGAGACGTTCCCGACCGGCATGAGTAACAAGCTCTGCCCTTGTAGCGAACGGATACTTCTGAGCATACACAACACCTGGCCCCTCCGCCATGCTTGATGCAGTGAGTGCCATGTGCCGCCTGGCCGCACCCCTCCGTCCGGCACAGCCGTCCACCTCCGTGCCCGGTGCAGAAGTTCCCAGGTCTCCGAGCCGTCTTGATGCATTCTTCTCTTTGACACTTCTTTCCCCCTCCGTGTCGGATGCAGTGGTCGCTTTTCCCATTACCATATGCTGCAGTTGTGCACCCGAACGTCTGGCACTTCTTCCCTCCCCCATGAGTGGTGCAGTGTTTGCTCGGTTTTCTAGCCGGTTTGTTGCAGCCCTCTGTCTGGCATCGAGATCCCCCACCATGTCGGGTGCAATGATTTGTAGCACCCTCCGCTGAAGTCTTACATCCTTGAGTCTGACGCCTTCTTCCACCACCATGTGTGAGACAATGCTTGTTAGGACCAGGCGCCGAATGAGGACACCCCACACTCTTACACCGATACCCTCCACCGTGGGTGATGCAGTGTCTGCCCCCTTTCCCCTGTGCTATCCGATTGCACCCATCTACAGCACAGATACGCCGGGGCTTACGTGCCATAGTTACTCGTAGAACAACGCACGAGTTCCGAGAGTTTCCCTATATCAACGCAGTTCAAACTCTCTGAAGGTATCGCCGTCATAAGAGGAACTGCGAGCTCACCACGCTCTCCTGACTCGGGCCATCCCACTTTTCCACGCTTCGTAGCGCAGGCGGTTCACGAGCGTTCGTTCTCCGGGGAGAACCCACTTCAAGTACGTCGCCAGCATCTTTCCATCTGCGTTGTAGTTCTGGATGTACCCATGCGTCAGGTGGTCTATGGTGCGTGCGAAGATCTCCGGCCCCGAGTATCTGGCCGGGTCGAAGCTCCTGACGGCGTCCCGGATGGCGAACGGAAGCAGGAGACTCATCCCAACGTCTATGCAAGTAGGCTTATCGTTCTTGACGTCGTACAAGATGTTATTCGCGTGGGAGTCTCCGTGAACGAATCCTAGCGACCACAGGGAGACGAAAGTCTTCTCCACGGCGACGTACTGCGTGGCGGTCAGTCCGTTCTGCCTGACGGCGATCGCGTGCAAGGTGTCACCGGGTGCCCTCGTCATGACCTGTATGCTGATAGCCATTCCTCCGCCAAAGAGTATGCCGG